GTCGTTTACACACTCTCCTGCCTCAGCCTTCTAAGTAGCTTGGGATACAGGCACCGCACCTGCGGCCCGGCTAGTTTTTGTATTTGAGTAGAGACGGGGTTTCACGTGTGTTGTGTGTGTGATGGTCATCGATTCTCTGAGTCGTGATCCGCCCCATCTCGGACTCTCGGAAGTGCTGGGATTACGAGGCTTGGAGCCACGTCGGCCCGGCCAAAGGTCTGAATTTTTTAATTTAGCTAATTTTAATATAAATAGCCACCATGTGTGCTAGTGGCTACCATATTGCCAGTGCACCTAGAGGTCTTGCGTCATCAGCTAAGAGAGAGGCGAAGTAAAATAACAAATCACTTTGGATCCAAACATTTGCAGATCAAATCATTGTTTGCTTTTATTCTTTTTGGAACGGATCTGGCTCTGTTTGCCAGACTAGAGTGGACAAAAATAGGCCATAGAAGAATCTTTGGGTATCACTTGAAACCTCTGCACCTCCCAGTTCAAGCAAGTCTCTTCTGCCTCAGCCTCCGAGTAGTGGGTATACAGGTGCACAACCACACGCAGCATATATTTTAATTTTTGTATGAAGATGGGGTATTCACCAATTTGACCAGGCTGGGTCTTGACAACTCTCATGGACCTCACGGTGATGCGCACACCTATTAGGCACATCTAAAAAGATGACTGGAGAAAAATTACAGGTGTGAAGCCTACATGCACATGGCCTGCCAGAAATATATTCAGTCAAGAAAATTGACTCGAGCACCTACAAATGTGGGACCTTAAGCCTCCAGTTCCCAATCAACTGAAATCAAAATGAAGAAAGAATAGTAGCCAAATTGTCATAACCATCGCCAAGGGCTTGTACGTTTACTAGATCAAACTACGAGCAATAATCTAAAAATTGCTGGAAAAACTTTCAAGGCACAGTGTCTTCTGAGCTAACCTACTCGTTACTGGGGCCGTCACCAGACGCAACATTGGGAACGACAGGTACTGAGGTTATGCAAAAGGAACCAAAGATGTGCAATGCGGGTTCAATGCACAAAAGATAATGCTAAAATGAATCTATCAATTCCATCTTTCATCCATCCACTGCTTTATATGAAGATACTAAACAAAAACAGATTGATATGAGGCAAAGAAGCTTAACCACAAAATCATCATACCTGTAACTTACATCAGAATCAAAAATAAAATAAGAAGCTGGGACGTAGGGAAATGAAGATAGGAAAATGCACTGCAGCTGGGAAAAGGTTAGTAAACAAAATGTACGTCAGAAAATCCCATATATTTGCTAGGCATAGACATGAAATTTGTTCTGAACTTCCAGATAGTCACACATAAAACTATGCAGTAAAGATTACTAAAGTTCTCAAGTTAGGCACAAGCCAGTTTCCAAGGGGAGGACCAGCTTTCCTGATTGCAATGTCATGAAGGGGATAAAAAGGGAGAAAATGACATTGGCTGTAGCAGTAAATTCAGGAGAGCTTTTAAAGCGCTATTTGTAGGAAAGGAAGGAAGATTTCTGAAGGACCATCTCTACATGAGGGAGGGCACTTCACAGGCTATCTCTACATGAAGGGGGCTTCTCAAAGACTATCATAAAAAGGAATGAGTAAGGACTTCCTCCAGGGCTATTTGTTTTTTTGTGTGTTTGTTTTAAAAGAAAAATCAGTAGTTTTTAAGGTACAGGTGTTTTTTGGTTACATGGATACGTTCTTTAGTGGTGATTTGTGAGATTTTGGTGCACTCATCACCACAGCAGTGTACACTGCACCCCATGTGTGGTCTTTTATTGCTCACCCCACTCCAGCCTTCCCCCTCTCTAAGTCCCCAAAGTCCATTGTATCATTCTTACGCCTTTGCAGCCTCATAGCTTAGCTCCCACTTGTAAGTGAGAACATACGATATTTGGCTTTCCATTCCTGAATTACCTCACTTAGAATAATGGCCTCCAGCTCCATCCAAGTAGCTGCCCAAGACATGATTTCATTGCTTTTGTGGCCGAGTAGTATTCCATCCCGTA